AGCAGAAAAGTGGCCTAAATATGGCCACTGAAGACATGCCCCGCGCGGAGCCAATAGAGCCGCGTTGTATTTACGACGTCTTGGGTTCCATTAAATCCGAATGTCTTAAAGGACGTCAAGAAGACGCCGAAGAGTTTCTCTCCTCTGTTCTCAACGGTCTTCACGAAGAAATGATAGCTCTGTCAGAGCTCTGGGCCGATGAGAATCAGAATAAGAGTCTGAACGGACAGCACTCGTCTGCAAAGCCAGTGAACGGACACATCGCCGGCAAACAGGAAAATGGCGATCATTTTGGAGACCAAAACGACAGCTACGCTGAAGACGACGACTCGAATCTATGGAAAGAAGTTAATTCGAGACACCGATCGATGCCAACCCGTTCGGTAAGTCACTGTCATTGCGATAGTTTTTATAAATTACAAAAATTAATTGTTTACTATCTTTTAGGCAAAAATAATTCCAACACAAATATCAGACATCTTCGGCGGTTCGACACTCGCTATTAGGACCGCTGGTAAAGACCAGTGTGGAAACAGACAGCCATTCTTTGCACTCCAACTGGACATTCAGGTAATGCTTTTTATTTTAATTATTTGGTAATTATTTAAACGTTTGATTGGTTTTGCCAAACAGTCAGATAAAGTTAAGTCAGTGGAAGACGCTCTCAAGTGTTTGACGATTACTGAATCAATTCAGGGATATATGTGTCCGAAGACGAAGCAAGTGGTGGACGCGAGCGCTCAAACATTTTTGGATACATTACCTCCTATTTTAATACTTCATTTGAAACTCTTTGTGTACGATATGGACGGCGGGTGTCGTAAACTAATGAAAAGAATTGAATATCCGGTGGATTTAGAGCTCCCGCGAGATTGTCTTCATGAGAAATGGGGGAAAGAGAAAAACTTTCAGCTCAAACGATACAAACTACTGAGTGGTTAGTACTTTGATTTGATTTAACTATTATTGAAATGTATATTAATTGTATTGATTGTGTTTTGTGTGCAGTTTTATATCATGACGGGTCTGAAGCCATAAAAGGTCATTACGTGACCGATGTTTACCACATTGGAAGCAATCAGTGGCTTCGATGTGACGATCAATCAGTGAAAGTGATTCCAATGCAGAAAGTGCTAACTCCTGAGTCTTCACGAACTCCTTATCTGCTGTTTTATAGACGAAACGACACTCTTTATAGCAAACATACGCTCCAATCAAACCATTCAAAGACATATTATCGTTAACCGCAAGTTTGAAATCTTGGTTTTAAATCATTATTTTTCAATATAAAGTGTTTCACAAACTGTTTTGACTGGTCTTCCCTTCAAATCGTTTTTATTAGTAATAAGAAATGAGACAAAAGACGATTGTGTTTCTGCTGTGCTTTCTATGGAC